ACAAGTCACTTAATTGGCTTAGGAATTCAGTTGGGAGTGAGGAAGGGCACACAATCCTCCATGTAAAACACGGTTGCTTACTTTAAAATTTGGAATTTATTTAACTTATTTAAAATGAATTTGAATAAGAGGATTTAATTGATTTGATTGTAAAAGAAATGGTTGGAAGTGAAAGGTTTCGAAGGTTAATTTTAGATCTAACTGAATTACTTCAAACATCTTAGGCAAAATTGAATGTAATTGGAAGTTTTGGGTCAAATTGAAATCATTTGAAACTAGAAGGATTGATTTTGAATAAATTAAAAACCTAAGGACTAACTGATAAAGTAAGAATGATTTTGGGTGAAATTAAGATTTTGAAAATAAAATGAGGCTTATTTGAAAATAAACAAGATTAATTCATTTAAAACCCTAAGCATTAAATTGATAAAGAATACAACTATGTTTCACCTGGAGAATTATGAGGAGCATGCATGGCCTTCTTCACACCTAATCGCATCCCTAGACTTTGATCTCTGTGCATATCATGTTTAGGTGACTAGCCACGCTTTATAATTTGAGCGAGTGACAACTCCTTGCTTTCACATTTTGTACTTGATTTCCAATCCATTTTTTAATTTGAAGAGTTGTTGACGACCACTTAAAAATTTCAAAATATGAGAATAATGAAAAATTATGAGTGAAAAATATAAAAAGAAAAAAAAGAAAAAAAAAAGAAAAAAAAAAGAGGAGTCACCACTTTTCCAAATTATAAGTGGGGCAAGTCACCTAAATTATGGTCTATGCAAAGATTGAGGTCCAAGGGTATGGTTAAGAGTGAGGAAGGATATATGCGCACCTCATAATCCTCTATGTAAAATAAGGTTGCAAACTTTAACATTTGGGAATTTGATTCAACTCATTTTTTCTTTAGGTCTTAATTAATTAAGGTTTGGAAAGTAAATGGTTGATAGTGTAACATTTCAAAAACTTTTTGGACTGATTTGAGCGACTCGAGAACTGGCATCTTCATTTGCAACAAATTAAAGTTGGGGGACTGATTTGACTAAAATTTGAAATCTGAAGGACTAATCTAAAATTATTTAAAACTCATGCACCAAATTGCTCAATCATGCAAGTTTTGGGTTAAATTAAAATAGAATAAAAGATAATTTTGACCTTTTAAACTTTGACTTTGACTAAGAAAAATGGGTAATTTAAAATCAATTAATTGCAATTATTAGTTTAATTAAATGATTAATTTAGCCTTAATCAAGATTAATTAAAATAAATTAATCACATCCATTAGACTCTAATTAAAATAATTAGAGAAATCTAACTACTTTAATTAAGACCAATAAACAAAATTAATTTAGTCTATAATTAGCATTAATTAATTTTGCTAACCACACATTAAATATGTTTTGAAAGTTGAGTGACTGAATTGGGAGGACAAATGTTGTTTTCAAAGACCTAAATGAATGAATTCGAAGTTATGAGTTCAAAGGGCTCATCATATAGATGCTGAAGGGCTAGATCTGCAATTTTACCATTAAAGAAATGACAAATCCAAAAACCGGAATTAGGTTTCGCGTCGTGTGTTGTCTTTATGCGCTATGCCTTTGGAAAAGGTTAAATGTCAATTTTGGCCTTCAACTTTAGATTTTGCACAATTTTGGTCCCTCAACTTTTTTATGCCTTTTTTGTCCTTCAACTATGAAAATACATTTTTTTAGTCCTTCCATTAATTAATCCATTAAATATGTCTAAATATGCACATCTTTAATCCCTCAACTTATAATATATGTATAATTTTTGTCCCTCAACTTAAAAATTAATAGACTAAAAATGTGCATATATGGATAAAATTAACGAATAAACTGATGGAATGATTAAAAAGTACATTTTGTAGAGTCGGGGAATCAAAATTCACATTCAATCTTTGGAAAGTAGGCATCGGTAAACTAAACAGAAGTGTTAATACCAACATTGTTGTGTCATCTCTATAAACACTTTCAGCTTTTAAGAGTTCCCCTTTTCGTCACGGGTCCTACTTTTCTAATAGGGTTTCCTAGACTCTATAAATGCCTATTCAAAACCAGACTTTGGGGTTCTTGGAGAGCAAGAGAGACGGCAATGCATAACTCAACATCAAAAGAAGATTGAGGGTTGAAATTTTATATCATCAAGCTAGTATTATTTGCCCTTAAATTATATTTTATTTTATAATGTCAAATACTCTTATGTTTATCTTGGGATATTTGATTTTCTTTTATTTTATTGTAAACTAATTTAGTCATTCAAGGCTATGATGTAGCCTAGTCAATTTGATATAGAAATTTGTGATTTTTATACTTTGAAGGCTTATTATTTCATTTAGAATATATATTATTGTTCTTGATGCATTTAGTGATCGGTCACTATTAAAATTGATTTGAAGAACATAATTGAGACTAAGAGGAGATTTTATGTAATAGATTCTAGTTATAAGTATCATGAATTGAACGAAAACTGGAGATGGACCAACGTGATTCATGTACCATTGGTGATAAGTGGACTTAATTTCCTACGTAAATTAGGGAATTTCACAGGACATAATGGATCTTTATTTATTAAATTCACATAGAGATATGGTGGTTTAATAGGTGGAGATAGTTTCGGTATAACTCAAAAAAGTATATAGAATAGGATAGGAAATCTCGCTATCACATTAGTAATAAAGACCTTGGAAATATATTAATAATCTAATTTTTATATTAGTTGATTGTGGTAAAATCGGATGTCTTAAAATTTCAACCCTTGGTGTCACTCAAAGTGAATTTAGTTTTTGTTTAATTAATTTAGTTAACTAGTTCATTTTAATTGTTCAAATAAAATTAAAGTTAGTTAATTTTGATATTGAATTAGTCTATACACTACTAGAATTTGTCTTTTTTCCAGTGCCCATTTTCTAGTGTAGGAATGCGCTGGCAAATAATGAACTATTTTGTGGTGTAATGTGCTGGAATTTGCCTCAATATTTCCCTGAAACAATTATTTTCTAGTGGTCAATGCTGGAAAATAATGATGTGCCAAAAAAATTTTTCGCGTGTTATTATTTTTTAGTACTAGCCATTGGAAAATATTAAAG